AGTTCCATCCCTGAACCTCGGAGACCCGAGGATCCCAGCCTCCTGGTGGCGCGGCCTGATTGGCAGGCCCCCCTTGGCCCGGGGAGGGGACCCCGGGGAGGGCTGTTGTGCACAATTGCTGTTTTCGCTCCTGCCATCATTCATTCAGTTATTGACAGAGAAAGGAGGGTCCGCGCAGTGGCTCCGTGTCACACACGCACTGTAATTTACTCGAAAAGAATTAAATCACAATTACCTGCCATTCGTTTTGCATCGTCTGCCATGGCAGTGCCTGAAAGGACAACAGCCCCATTGTTGCCACATTAGAACAATATTTCTCCATTTGAAACTTAAAACATGCGAATTAGCAGCTTTGTTTGACTGCGGTGGCCCCCCCATAGGCAAGCCTGACACCCCACCTCGGGCTCCAGACATTACCGTTAACGAGCATAATTTTCACTCATTTAAGTCTAGACCGATCTTTTAAAATCGTTGCATTTATTGTAGAAATATACCTCCCCCGTGTTCGAAAGGAAAACATAATCTTTTATCTGTTACTAGGCCGGTTGATAAATTACCTAAATTCCATGAAAACTCCTCTTGCTGGAACAAAAATCAGCGCAAACTGCAATTAACCCACCGGAGATGTGTTCAAATGACCAAAGAAATCACACTGTTTCTCAAATGTAGTTACTTCTGTTCTCATTTTCTCCCCTTTTAGATATGGTCGTCAGGTAAATATGACTGATTAGCTTTTCAACCAAGGTTTTTAAAGTGTATTTAAAATTTCAACTCTGCAAAATTACCTCACCGTTCACCCGTGTGTTCAGCAAATTTGAAGCCAGGCTGGGTTTTTTTTTTAACAAGTTCTGTAAAAGTAAACTGCTGCTTTGAGTGAGCTGTAGTTTCCATGAACATTAATGGTTTTTCAATAACAAAATGGGACTGTTCAAACAAGCTGGAATTTTTTTTTTAAAAAAAGTTACTAATTGTAAGAACCTGAACAACAAGAAAAAAACAACAAATAAAAAATACAATTAGTAACATTGAGAGCTGTGTGTAGGGACAGGAACAAATTAGAGCAACTTCATTCATCTGACAATAAACAGAAATGACTGAAAATAGAAAAGATGGGGCGGGGAAAGAAAAGTAGAATTTTAAAAACCTGAGCGGTAAAAGGCAAGTTGAAATGCAGACTTAGTACAGGGAATAATTAAGTGTGGAATAAGAAAACCCTGTAACCCAGGAAAGCAAGTCGGAGAAGAAGTAAAAATTCATTTGTTGTTAACAGTGGGCTTTCCTAATTTTAAAAATTACAATCTTATGATTGAAATGTTATTAGTACTTTAAGAGGTTTATTTTTTTTTTAAAGCATGGATAAGCTGCCAGCTGTTTTGTGTGTTGTTGTTGTTGGTTTTTTTTTTTTAAATAAATGACCTTTTCCTTTAAAATAATTTTTACTGTCTGCTCCCTTTTATTTTTGATAATGTGTGTAAAAATTAAAATGCTTCATTTTATGTTTAGTGAACTTTAAATTTTTTAAGTAAACTTTTCCTCTTTTCTTCTGGGAGAGAATAAACATTTGACTTTAGCAGAAAATAAATTCCATGTGGAACAAACCAAGGACTCAACTCTATTTTCACGACTGGTTTTTTTGAACAATAATCCATAGAGAAAGGGATTCATCGGGCAAATGAAACAATGTCCCTGATCTATATTCCTATTCTGGTGTCACTTCCTGAAATATCGGCAACCTTTTAAGTTGCAGCCTAAGCCATGAATTCCTTCAGAACAAATCAAATGTCTTTAAAGAATATTTCTGTTTGAAAAGGAATTAAGCTCTCCTGAAAGAATTTTAAAGGTTGTGATATTCACAGTCTGATAAAGCAGCACCTTTAATGAAATTCTAATTAGCAATTTCATGCACTTTGCTATTAGTCATATCAGATTAGTGCACATTTTCACAGCCTTCCTTTAATTAAGTGCACTTATTCCAAGTTTCAAACACTTTCCTTATAAGATGAAAACTGTGCTGAAATGTTATTTAGTAAACAGAGGAGGTGTGAAAGTGTAGGTGCGCCTGTGTACATGGGGTGGACATTTGTAACTGTCTACAAATTCGGATACACTTGGGGTTGGTGCACTCAGGTTTTCATCCCTTCTTTCTCCCCTCCTCAGTGCTTCCTTGCTACTTCTAAGGGACCTATTCAAACAGAGAGAGAGAGAGAGAGAGAGAGAGGACTATACATACAATATTTAGCTTTAAAAATCTTGAAAAGCAAGGAACAAGCATTTGTCCATATAATATCCCCACCCCGTCACCTTTTGCAGGCACCTTCTCTCCTTTGAAAACAGCAATGAGAATTCATTTTCCCTTCAGTTTCATTAGAAAGCCCCAGCAAGAAGCAGGCAGCCAGCTTCGTGACCGGGATCCATGGGGCACTTCTTTCATTTCAATCTCCACTTCTCCACTCCGGAGCCCAGCAGCCACCTACCCCTGGGGCGCACACCCCACAGACCCCTGAGTCCCCGACCCTCCCTCCCTCCCTCCCAGACTCCTTCGGGGCTGCTCCAAGGCAGGGCCGTGGCATTGTGTGGGAATGAAGCTGATCTTATCTGTATAGCTTTTTGTCAAGAGGAAATTTTTGTTGCCTGTTTTGCTCAGAGGTTGGAAGTTGTAATATATTAACTAATTGCTTGCATCTCTAACACATGTTCTCTTGTTGGTGTCATTCATTTATACTGTAACATTTTTGACATTTTTAGATCCTCTCTGGGGACTCCTGGGCCTCTTAGCAGTTCCGTCCATGAAGAGTGTTTGCCTAATGATTACTGACTGATATCTCAATAAGGAGGAGATGGGTGCATCTATTGAAGAGTTGAGGGGGGGAGGGGTGTGTGTGTGTGTGTGTGTGTGTGTGTGTGTGTGTGTTTTAATTCATGGTCCACTTTGTCAAGTCATGTGTGAGCCATAATTTAAGCTAATAATTACCAGACATGAATTCAATGAAACATTGGTGTCTACACTTTAAAAAAAAATAGTCCTGAATTTTAATGCATTCAGAAAACGTTTGCCTAGGGCCAGGCCGGGTCCAACACACATATGGAAGCACTTTAAAAGTGATAAATGATTTGGAATCTACCCTGTCTACTGGTGTGCTTCTCAGGAAAGAAAATTAGAGCTAACAGGTGTTAGATAGGGAATGCTGGGGCATTTTAATAGAATTGTCAAAATGTTGGTACCAGATGTTGACATTAATGCACACAACTCGGAACGTAATGCCGGGCCGCCATTTAAATGATTATTTGTTTAAATTTCAAGTCGCCAGCAGGAAATCCTTACTTTGTTCAGCACCTTTCCCTACACACCATCCCCCGGCTCTTTCCCCTACGATTTGCATCAAAGTGCAGTGGCTGCTGGGCTCACATATGCGTGCTTTAAATAATCCATGCCTGTCAGATTTCATTTTTTCTTTTCAGATCTTACTCATCACATCCCCATCGTCTCCAGCCTTGAAGTCGGCCTCGACGTATTCCTGTACGAGGAAAAAAAGTGATTTAAATACTGCCAGTTACAGGATAATTAATCTTTGAACTACTCGGTAACTTCAAATGTATATAGCAAGTAATCTGCATGAACTTGTAATTACTATGTATTTATACGATATTGGCCATGTAATCACCAAGTCGTTACATGGTTATGTGAGCCTTGTAAATTACGGCAAGAGCGGAAAGCTAATCTCGCCCCTGCCACTGCAGAGAGCCCGTGCAGGAGCCGCTGGGATCCACCGCGGTCAATCAATCGAAGGGTCCAGAAAGAGTCTATGCTTTAAAGGACACGAACGTTTGCCTGCGGTCTTCCCGACGTTAGGAAATAGCAGGGGATGGAGAGACTGGGAGGTGGGCAGAGAGCAGCCTTTCTCAGCCGCTTTCAGACAAAGACTGGGATTGGTGTGGGCCATTTATTGCGGCCGGAGTTGAAAGGTAATTAGAAAAAAAATCTCTAGGCAAAATCCAGCATCAGTTCCACAAGCGGTATTCTGCTGCGACTAGCAGCGGTTCTCAACCTGTGGGTCGCGACCCCTTTGGCGGTCGAACGACCCTTTCACAGGGGTCGCCTAAGACCATCCTGCATATCAGATATTTACATTACGATTCAGAACAGTAGCAACATTACAGTTATGAAGTAGCAACGAAAATAATTGTATGGTTGGGTCACAACATGAGGAACTGTATTTAAAGGGCCAGAAGGCTGAGAACCACTGGACTAGGGGAAGGCCTTGAGCTCAATCCCAGGGTGAGGCCCCGGGCAGACCCTGGGGCACATGGGTGTCATCTCTGGGAACCCAACTCAAACAGAAACGCCATCCGCCTATTGCCCCAAGTCCCCCAAAGTAACCTGCTTCACGAGAAAACTGTGTGTGTACATATGTGTTCGTGTGTGTACATGTGTTTGTTTGTGTGTGTGTGCATGGATGTGTTTGTGTGTGTGTGTGCATGGATGTGTTTGTGGGTGTGTGTGGAAGGCCTTGAGCTCAATCCCAGGGTGAGGCCCCGGGCAGACCCTGGGGCACATGGGTGTCATCTCTGGGAACCCAACTCAAACAGAAGTGCCATCTGCATCTTGCCCCAAGTTCCCCAAAGTAACCTGCTTCACAAGAAAACTGTGTGTGTACATATGTGTTTGTGTGTACATGTGTGTTTGTGTGTGTGCATGGATGTGTTTGTGGGTGTGTCCTCAAAAGCCACATTGGACCACGTCATCCCTTTGGTTCTAAAGCAAATAGCCAAATGGGGGCATCCCCTTCTCTCCTCCTTGTGAGGTCTCCCCCTTCCTCCCGAACTGGACAGCTGTGCCCCGGCCTTCACTGACGCAACAAAGGAGGAGGGAGCACACGGAGCCATGGCCTTTCTAGAAGCTACGAGAACAGAGCAAGGGGGCAGAGGCTAAATCTATGCTGTATTCTGGACTTTCTCATAGTCCTAAGCTTTCCTCTTTTCCCAGCCCTACCTGGAAATAGGAAGAAACCAGACAACAACCGTGGAGGCTCTACCAAGGCCCGGCTGCTCCGCCGGCCCACGCGCAGACCCTCACCTGGCCCCCAGACAGCTCCAAGACAGTGTCCCCAACCCACTCAGGCCCGAGGGCCGTGTGGCTCAGCATCCTCAAAGCCCTGTCCCGGGAGAGGCTCACCCACCTGGACCTGCAGTGTCCAGCAGGCTCGTCTCGAGCCACAGGTGGCTCTATAAACAAGTAACCACGACAAAAGATTCCGTCTCCTGGTTACGCTCACTACATTGCAGGTGCTCAGTAGCCCCACGTGGCTAGTGGCTGCCATATTGGTCAGCACCGCTATGGAATACGTTCAAGGTCATTGGTCTAGAAGCGTACAGAATTCTCCGCTCTCTGTCCTGCTCTTTCCCTGACCAGGAACACTGGGCAGGTGGGGGAGGGCGTCCAAGGGCAAAGCCAGAGAGGATCCCCTGAGCCCATGAAGAGGCTGCCTTGCCTTCCTCGGCCAGACCTCTCCTCCCTGTCCCTCACCTGTAAGGCCAAGGCCAGGCCCAGGGCCGAGTGCGCTGCCCAGGCCTCAGTGGGCACTCGCTGGGATGCCTGATGAGGAACAAAAGCCCCAGACCCCGCAGAGCCCTGGGAGACATCTGGGGCTGGAGGCCTGACGGGGCCAGTGCCCGGATCTGCTGGCATATTGGGTCACGGAGGTGGCAGCCTTTCCCGGTCTCAGCCTGGGGTGCCACTCTGCCTCCCAGGGCAAGGAAGTCCAGGCTCGGTTGCTAGGGAGAGATTTTAACTGTTCATTATTATTCATTATCTTTCATCATAGGTGCCGTTATTTGCTACCTGATGGATGTTACATGGGACTCATCGTTGCAGCTGCTTTTCCAAATGCCTCCCACATGCCAGACCAATTGCCCCTTCCATCCTCTTTGGAACCTATGAGGGAGAAACTGTGACCCCACTTTACAGATGGAAAAGCTGAGGCTAAGATGGGCTCACTGAGGGCCCCTCCCCCGCAAGGCCCCATGGCTAGTCAGCAGCGGGTCAGGATCCAACCCTCATCCCATTCTCCACTCCACACACGCAGGCCTGTCACCCAGCCTCCTGCGAACGGCCTCTGCACCCAGCAGCAGCCAGGGAACGAAGGGCCTCGCTCTCGAGGCCTCGGCCTGCTCGTTCTCAGCTCACAGTTTCCTCGTCGGCTTCACTCCCCGACGCCGCTGGTTGGCCAGCCCTCCCTCCCGCTGTGTGCTGGTCTGTAAAAGGGCCCCCATTTTTCACTCGTCCCCATAGCCACGCCTCCTTTGCAATGGACTGGGCAGCTGCTTTCCTCAAGAGTGGAATGTGTTTTGCTGAGTGTGAGCTGCTTTAGCCAGTAACATGTGGCAGAAGCAACTTTACTCCAGTTCTGAGGTCGCTCTCGCTCTCACTCTCGCTCTCAGAATCCTCCCACCACGACCTGAGTGATCCTAGGCTAGTTGGCTAGATAATGACAAATAAATGCCCCGCTGTCCCCACTGCCCAGCTCCTCGCCAGCCAGCCTACGGCCAACCTGCCGCTGACCACAGAGGCACAGAGAACCATCCTGAGGGGAGAACGGCCCGGCCGAGCCCAGTGCAATTTGCTGACCCACAGAATCCTAAAGAAACGGTGGTTGTTCACGGCGCTATGTTTGCGGCCCGAACTGCCACGCACTCCCCGAGCCAGATGGTTTTTCTTAGGATCTCGGATGGATGTCTCGTGCTGCGCCCTCCCCTTCTCTAATTGCCTGGTTATCTTTAGGGCATAAGTGCTCCTGCTAGAGACCCTGAAACCCAGCCACCTGGCGAGATTCGAAAGCCCTCCTCTCCCCGGTCCCTCGGCACCAGGAAACTCTTTGCTCACCAAGCCGCTGACAAATGAGAGTTTTTATTTTAAAAAGTCTAACTTTTTGGCCATTGGACACGAGATTCGTTCCCACTTTTGGTTCTGATTTTGGACCAAACCACAAAACTTCCCACATCCACTGAGATGCTTGCTTTGCTTTTCTTTCCTTCCCCAGCCAGGCACCCAGAGGAAAATGCGTAGCCCTCCCAAAGCCATCGGCAGCCAGCGGGGCTGACTGACGCTCACCCGGCCCAGCTTCAGTTTTCCCTTTGGCTCCATTCATCCCAGGACTTCCCAAGCCCTGAGCGGGGTCACATTGGAACTCCTGCCAGCCCTCGTGTCGGAGAGCCCCTACCACGTTTCACGCAGCTGGAAGTGAGACGCTGGCAGCTGGGCCGTGGCCAAGCTGGGCCGTTCCAGCCACCCCCAGAGCCTCGGTGAAATGTCCCATCACTCATGCTGTGGCTTTTATGGTTTTGCTCTATAGATGAGCATTCCTGAGCATGGTACACTCGGCATTTATTCAATAAGCAGGTCTTAGTCACCTACTGTGTGCAAGCAAGACTTGGAGGGATGCAGGCAGGAAGGAAAAGGGCCTGAGCGTGGAAAGGGCTCACAGGTGGACAGGTATCAAAATGACGGAAGACGCTGAAGGGCAGAATAAAATTGGTGTCCGGCAGCGAATAAAGAAAGAACAGCTGGTATTTGCGGACGCTCCGTGTTTGGCAAGCACTCTTCCAATTACTCTAACATGCATGAGTCATTCGATCCTTATTCCTTTCCTATTATGAAGGCACTGTCTAGCCTGTCCCATTTTATAGATGGGAAAACTGAGGCCCAGAGAGGTT